CGGGTAGGGTTAGGTGGGATATTGGGAAGACATTCTTCCCTGTGAGGGTGGTGAGGCACTGACACAGGTCACCTAGAGAAGCTGTGGCTGTCCCATCCCTGGAAGTGTTCAAGGCCAGCTTGGACAGGGCTCAGGGCAACCTGGTCTAGTAGAAGGTGCCCCTCCCCATGACAACAAATTTCCAGTTAACATTTGTTGAATCACAGAATCTGAAAATGGTTTGGGTTGGAAGGGACCTTTAAGCTCATCTAATTCCAACCCTCTGCTGTGGGGCTGTGCCCCTCCAGACCAAGAGACATCACTTCAGATGGACCTGGATCCTTTGACAGCACCCATATTTTCACAGCAGGCAGTTTTCCATCTTTTTCTTCTCCCTCCTATGTTCTACAGCCAAAATTACTCTTCTGCACACACCAAGGATAACAAAAGATAAAAATAAATGGCTCCCCTCCAGATCTGCTCTCTTGAAACCGTGAGATGGGGATCTGTTCTCCTGTCTGGGTTTGGCCACACTGGAGGATCTGCTGGCTGAGCTGGAGTGGCTTTAGGGTGGAATGGGATGCAGATAACTCCACAGCTCCTGGTCAGGACAGGATGGAGCTTTGCCTTGTGACTCCGTTCAGAGAATCAGCATTTAGAAAACACCTTTTTGGTGGGTGGGATGGGAAGGAGGGTCTTCTTGTTGAACTGAGGAGCAGGACCTCTCCACCCCTCAGGGACAGGGAGGGGGAAGCCAAAGCAGCTGGACTGGGCACTGGAGGATGATCTGCAGCTCCCACACCCAGGGCATCCCTCCTCACCTCCCTCTCCATCTAACAGCACTTTCTCATTTTCAAACAAGTCGAGAGAACCACTAAAACACAGAGTAGTGTTGGGGTTTCTTTCTTTGCCTCACTTCTCTCTGCCGCCCTGCCTGTCCAGCGTGTAATGGAAATTTTACCACAGCCGCTCGATGAGCAAACAGGAAGCCAGCAGAGAGCGTGGCAGCTCGCTGTGGCCCAGCTCAGCTCAGCAGGGTGACAAGGAAGGCCATAAAAGCCAGCAGGGGGGTGGCAGCAGGATGGAGAGTGAGCCAGAGGGACCAAGGCTGGCAGCAGAGAAGGGGAGCTGGTTCTGGCTTCACAGGTAAGGCAGGCACTGCCCTGCACCTTCTTTTTCTCCCTTATCCAAATGATTCCTGATTATTTTGGGGAGTACTTTCCACTGTTTGCTTGGGGCCAGTTGGGAGGATTCTGCCACTACTTTATTCTCTGTCCCAAACTTACTAAAATTTCACCTTGCTCTAAAAAACTAATTCTATTTGTGTTTTTCCTCTTCTTTTTCATCTTTGCAAGCCCATAATACAAAGCTTAAAACTCCCCAAAGCCACTCAGATTTCCAGTGGAGGTATTGGAGAAGGTAAAACTGGGTTGTAGTTCCACAAAACTCACGCTTCTGCCAGAAAGATTTTTCTTCCCTTTGCTCCCAGGAAAATCCAGAGTCACTCCACTGAATAATCTTGGCACTGTGGGGGTTACCCAGAGCTGCATCTGGCTCAGTGCACACCGCACACATGGGTGTTAGGACCCAAACGAAGCAAGAAATCCAGAAAGGGGCTGAAAATGGATCACAGTTTTCCTTCCTCTGTGTCTTTTGCTGACAGCTTTCCAGGCTGGCTCAGTCCTTGCATGTAGCTTGTCAGTGACAAACTGGGAAAACTCTTCCTTTTGATTTTCTACTTAGTGCACTCATTTTGATTGATGAGCTTTTAACACTCATTTTTCCGTACAACTCTCTGAAAGGAGGTCGTAGCCAGGTGGGGGTCGGTGTCTTCTCCAGGGAAAAAAGTGACAGGACGGGAAGAAACAGCCTCAAATCACGCCTGCCAAGGTTTAGTTTGGATATTACAGACATTTCTTCGCCAAAACAGTTGTCCAACACTGGAAGAGTGCTGGAGCTGCCCAGGGCAGTGGTGGGGTCACCATTCCTAGAGGGATTTAAAAGTGTGGATGTGGGACTTTGGGACGTGGTTTAGTGGTGGGCTTGGCAGTGCTGGGGGAATGGTTGAACTCAGTGATCTTAAAGGCCTTTTCCAACCCAGAGGGTTCTGTGATTCCATGATTCCATGGGAGCATGCAGGGTGATATGAGGAGGATTGGGTAGGTCCCACAGATAACCCCACCATAAAACCAGAGTCAAGGGGCTGCTTCTCTGCTGCCTCCTCCAAATCCCTCAGAGATTGGGAGGTCTGGGCAAGTACACAGTGCAGAGCACAAGACACACGGCTGGGGGTTTGGCGGCTGCCTCAGTGAGGGGCACCTCGAGGACTGTCTAACCTGAGAATGGTGAAACATCAGGGTCAATCTCAGGTTCGTCAGCCCATGAGATGCCTTCTCCAGAGCAGGACGGGCAGCGCCTGCCCCCACCAGCCCCGTGGCTGCTCATGGGGAAGCACATGTGGAAGCACAGCGGGGAGCAGGGAGGCACCGGAGCTTCATCTGCACTCTGGCACGGCTGTTTGTGAGGATGGGGAAGGACCAGGGTACGTGTCAGCTCCCCAGGGAGAAAAGGGAGTAAAGCGGCCAGCAAATCCCACCTGTTCCTCAGGAGAAGCTGCTGGAAGCTCGGCCGCACGTTAGTGCCGAAGCTGTCACGGTCGGCGACACAGCAGCTGCCACGTGCGAGTTGCTGTTCATGAGACAGAAGGCTCCGAGTATTAAAAATACCTAATTAGGAACCTCTCCGACTCCCACCCCGATTTGTGCCTCTGTGCGCCAGTGAGCACAGCCCAGGGGTGAGTTTGGCATCCCTGAAAGCATCATTAACACGTCGCCCCTCACACTCCTGACTAGAGGAAGAGACAGTTACAGCCCAAAAGTGACGATAATGAATCCCCAGGCAGCGCACGGGGCCTGTCAGCGCTGGATGTGTCAGTAATTTATGAAGGGAGCACAAAAATATAGCTTTTTTTTTTAATTTTCCAAGTTGAGCTTCCTAAATAAAACACGAGTACGAGACGCACTTGTCAGAATCATTCTTTCAATGAAATGACTAAAGATAAACGGGCTAAAGAGTTACCAGCCCCAGTGCAGGCCATGGGGTAAGGGATGAACTGAGCTGCCTCCCTCTGTGTCTGCTCCTGGCCATGTGGATGCCAGTGCAGGAGCAGCAATCCCTGCCTAGAGCCACTGGCTCACCCCTTTCAAACCAGGGTGGCCCCCCAAGCCCCACAGGTGATTCCAGGCAGGGGAGCACCAGCACCCACCAAGTCCTGACCTGACTTCAAGGCGATTCAAAACCATTCCAGGAGCCCCCCATGAGCAGCTGGGCAGCACAGGGCAGGCAGCTCCATTCCCCTGCGCTGGGATCCAGCCACTGGTGGAGCCTTCTCCTGGAGTTCCTTCTCCTCCTGGGATTTTGGGGGTCTCGTTTGCCCTCAGCCCCCAGCAGGTCTGGGGGATGCCCTGGGAGCTGCAGGCAGGGCCCCTGGCAGGAGAGCAGGGCCAGGTTCAGCACCAGTGTCAGGGTGGGGGACAGCACGGGGTCAGGCGTGGGGGGCAGGGGGGAGAAGCGGGCTCAGGTGGAACACTGGAAATGACAGCGGATCTCAATGATTCAGTGAAGAAAAGGACTGACAAAGCTCACAAAGCTCACAAAGCCAGCGGGAGGCAGCTGCTCCCCCGCCCCCTTCCCTCCCAGCGCTCGCTCTGCTGCTGCTGGGAGTTATTCTGCAATTGGGGGGGCACAGGGGAGCCCCCCACTTGTCGTATCCACAGAGCCCCTGAGCCCTTCCCAGTGACCCTCAGAACACAGTTCCTGCCATGGAGAAGGATGAGGGGTTCTTGCCATTCATTCAAGTTCAATTTAATGTGGGCTTGTTAGGGTTTTTTCCCCTTCTCTTGAAATGTTTGTTCCTCATGAGGGGATTTTAATTTTAGAGACAGCAGCGCTTCTGCAAAGTGAAGTGATTTCTGAGCTCCAAGGGCCAGGTGATGGAGATACCGTCAGAGAAGGAGGGAAAGGCAAATGAATCCCTTGTGTAGTTCCCTTGGATTCTGGGAGGCATCCCAAGGTGTGTGTCTGTGATGGGATCAGGCCAGGGGAAGAACATGCCTTTGTGCTGTGCCAAAGAGGGGCAATTGTGCTCCAGAAGCGCATTTCACTTCTGCAGTGAAGTTTTCATCCGTGTGAGAGCCAGAGAGGAATCACTGGGAGGAGCCGGGAAGGAGTCAGGGCTGCCTTTCCCAAACAGCTGCCAGAGGAGCCATCAGGAAAACTTTCCCTGCGACATGAAAGGCTGCAGAGCTCAGGGCAGAGCCCACACACACGACTGTGCCCCGGCGTGCCCCTCTGCCATGGGCACACGTGCCCCGAGGGGACCAGGGATCTCCATGGGGGTGTCCAGGGCCCAAGTGCCAGGAAACATGTCCTGGTGCGATGTGGGAGAGTGGGGCTCAGCCAGCTGGTCCTGCTGCACCCTCAGTCGCCCCTGTCGCACACAGAGGGTCTGTCATGCACACACACGTACTCACACACATAACCCCCCACCTCTCCCACACCTGCAGGCTCCCCCCCACATCCCGAACCCCCCCACCTCCGACACGCACAGCAACACCCCTCAGACCATTTGTACCCTCTTGCATGTACACCCCTGCACACCCCACACACCCGCACGGCCCCCAAAAAGACTCACCCCCCTCACCCCATGCACCCCCAGACTCACACGCCCATGAACACCCGTGTCCCCCTCCCAGACTCTCCCTCTCTTCATCCCACGTATCCCGGTGTCCCCCCAGACTCTCACCCCCACGCACTCCTGTGTACCCCCAAGTGCTCCCCCAGGCTCTCCGCCCCTCCACCCCCCGTATACCCCCCGACTGTCCCCCCGTGTCCCCCCGGCTGTCCCCCCGTTCAGCACCGCGGACAGATCCCGGCCCCGCTTCCATCACGTGGCTCCCACCGCCCCTATATAGCGCGGGTGCGGGCGGCGCGGAGCGGCGCGTCCTGCGGGAGGAGCGGAGCGGAGCGGAGGAGAGCAGAGCGGTGAGACACGCACCGGGAACCGGGACAGCCACCGCCCCGGGAGCCCCGGCCCGAGGAGGAGGGTCCCGATCCCGGGAATGTCCGGTCCCCGGGGAGAGGAGGGTCCCATCCCGGGGTGGGGGAGGGTGTCCCGTCGCAGGGGGTTCGCAGGTCCTGGGGGGTCCCGTCCCAGCTGCCGCGTGTGTCCCATGCCCAGAGGGGTGTCCCATCCCGGGAGAAAGGGTGTCCCGTCCCCGGGTGGGTGGGCCCCAGCCCTCGTGGGGGTCCTGTCCCCAGAAGGGTCCTGTCCCAGGGACGGGGGCTGCAGTTCCCATCGGGGAGGTGGGAGTCCCGCCCCGGGGGGCTCCATCCCTAGGGCATCTCATCCCTGGGGCGGGGGTCCCCCATGGAGTGAAGCCCCTCGAGTGACCTCTAACCGCAGCAGGGGGATGTGGGGGTCCGGGTTGTGGGGGGGCTGCCCTTACAGGCATCTGGCCCCGGCGTGGCTGCGATGCGGGTCAGGATGATTTCGGCTGCCTCCGTCCTCGTCCTGCTCTTCCTGCCCTCGGAGACCTGCTCACCCCTGCAGTGGCCCCGGGGTCCATCCCGCAGGCTGACCCCGGCCCCTCAAGCCACCTGGGAGCCCTGGATGAGCGCCCCGCGACCCTCGGTCCCTGCTGCCCATCCCCTGCCCCAAAGACTGTGCCAGCTCCACGGGGCAGAGCCCACCCCGGCCCCCCGAGCCCCGCGGGCGCTGCAAACCGGCAAGAGGCGAGACGGCAAACCCAATTCGTTGGATCTCACCTTCCACCTCCTGCGCGAGTTCCTGGAGATGTCCCGGGAGGAGAGACTGGCCCAGAAGGCACTCAGCAATAAACTCTTGCTGCAGAGTATAGGAAAATGAGGGAGGGTCGTTGAAGGGGGGGAATGAAGGAGACCGACCCCATAGCGAGACGCCACGGCACAGCAGAGAATGGGGGGAATGCCGGGGGCTGCAGCCGTGCCCAGGGAGCTCCCACCTTGCCTGGCAGGGTCCCTGTCACTGCGTCCCGCGTGTCACTGTTGTGCATTAAAGTCACCCTCGTACCCGCCCTGCTGCTGTGCTTCTATGCATCCTCCCCCGTCATGAACCTATAACCTAACCAGGTCTCCCCCCAAACACCGGAGCAATCCCAGATGTATCCCTGGGGGAAAAGCAACAGCATAAAGAGCTCCGAGCGGTGCAGCTTGTGCCTCCTCGGCTGGGAGCTGCACCCCGGGACCCAGCCAGGGCTTCTCCTCCTCCAGTATACCTGTGAACGGCTCAGAGAGCCGCCGCTTCCCGGCTTCACAGCAAGTCTGCACCTCGCCGTGTCGCAGCTGGGGATTTGGGACGTTTGAGGTTGGCAGCGCTCAGAGAAAGATGAGCATCCATGTAAAAGCATCGGCAGCAAGAGCATTGCAGGCCCCCAAGGGGTCCTTGTCCCCTCCATCCCCACTCTGTGTCCTCTCTGGGGCACGGACCCACCCCCCCAGCGGCTCAATCCCCCTCCCGCAATCACAGCCCCGTGCTCGGAGCAGCTGTTCCCACCCCAGTCTGTGCAGGGTCTGCTGCTGGGCACGACGGGGCTGAAGGGGGTCTGGGAGGGCTCCCAGGCACTGACCGTCACTGTGGAAGGAGAGAAAGTGTCCTGGGGCCCTCTGCAAACCGGGGGTAGCTCGACATCCCCTCTCCAGGGCCAGTTCAGCCATCCCAGCCCTGGCTGACTTACTGGGGTGGGCACAGGGATGCACAGGACCTCTGCCACCCTGGGGGTACTGGAGAGGGGACAGTGAGGGAGTGGAGACTTGTGGGGTTAGGATAGAAATCATGATAAGGATCAGACCACGCCAAGACAGGAGTACAGGGAAGCGGGAAGGAGCACATGCCTAAGTTGAGCAGCTTGGGCTTGGCTTTGTGACACCAACCTGGCCTGACCCTGCACCCCACACCTGCCTCTCCAGAGGGGTTGCTCTGCCCCAGCAGCTTTTTCCCTCTGTTCATCAGCACCTTTCCAAGTGAGGCCACAGCAGCCCACAGCCCATGAGCCAAACACCGGCTGGACCGCTCCAGCATCCTCCACCCACTGCATCATGCACTTCCTTAGCACCTCCAGGTGAAATTTTGCTCCCATGGTCCCCAAGAGCACAATGTCACAGAACCCCAGAATGGTTTGGGTTGGAAAGAACCTTAAAGCTCATCTCATTCCAACACTCTGCCATGGAACCCTCCACTAGACCTATCTGACCAGACAGTTCCAAACTTAAACAAGACGATTTTTTGCTCACCTCCATCAAATGTGGAACTCATCTTTCCAAAATGAACAATCCTAGGGATGCTGTGCAGGTCAGAATAGATGCTGGTGCCACCCCCAGCAGGAGCAGCCCTGCATTCCCCCCAGGCCTGGGTGGCAGGATGGGTTTGTGCTGCCTTGGCTCCCACCTTGGCTTCCATCAGTCTTGTAGCACCCTCAGCACATCTTCTGCTCCTCTTTGCTTCAGTCTCTCTGCTGGTGACATCAGGAGCAAACACAGTGTCCAATAACCTGAGCTTCTCCAGAAAAGGGTATTTTTACTGCAGACAGTCAGACATCCCCTGCCCCCTTCCCCACCCTGAAACAATTTCCCACCCCACCTGACAACTCTAACCTGCACTTACACCCCAAATACCTGCCAGACTCTGGCACCACATGAAGATCTTTAGCCTTAAAGGCTCAGAACCAGCTGGGACCCTATGGCAGGTGCAGGAGGGGCAGAGGGGAGCAACTGCACTCCATGCCCCAGGGACCCTGCACCCAAACCCCACACAATGTGCCCGTCCCAGGGACAGGTGACCTCTCCCATCTCCCCCCCAGCCCCTCCATGTCCCACAGTCCCTCTCTCTCGCACCAACTTCCAGCGTGCAGACGTGGAAAGAAAAAGCCGGTGGGCATTTCTGCATTGAAAACATTTATTTTACAACAGTGGTTTCCGATAACTTAGCAATCTTTATTTTAGTTTATATTCGGACATACAAGACACAAATTACCATGCTAAAACAGAAAATAATTCCTTCTGCCGTCGCTGCGGGTATGTACAGGAGCTCAGTAGTATCGAGTGTTACAATCCACAAAGTTCAGACAGCCACGTCTACTTACAGACAACTCAAAGTATGGTCCTTTAGTAACATAACAAAATAGATATATGTCTATATTATAATTGCTTCTCAGATGCATTTATACTTCGATTGTGGTGGGTTTGGTTTTTTATTTTTTTTACTATTTTTTCCTTTTTTAAAGATGGGCTCCCCCTACCCCCACCCCCCACCCGAGTTGAAGTGCAGTGCAAACGCAGACGCGCCTCTCCCGGCGCCCTCAGCTCCCGCCGGCTCCGTAAGGAGGCCGGGACAACCAAACCCCATGAGGAATTACACAGTTCAGGGCCTTGCTCACATGCAAAATGAACATAAACTGCCTGGGATGTCAGCAGTGACACCAACCGACCCATCCACACCCCGCCCCAGCCTGGCGGGCGACAGTGGGATGAGAGGGAGGAAGGAATGACAGCGACTGGCTCAGCATCCAGCAAGGAAACAGCGCGTTTGGAATTGGCAAACTCGGAGTTCATCAACCATGATGGACACAAACAGAACTTCAGAGGTGCCAGCAGTAAAAATCTCCCCAGTATTCCCCCATTTCTGCTGTGAAGCAGGAACCCCCCGGTGTGCTGCATGTCAGGAACAGCCCCTGGAAGGAATGGCCTGAGGAGGAGGAGGAGGGTGGCAGCAGCTCCACCCAGCATGTCTAGAGGGGACGTGGTGGGACTCACACGTACATTGGCCACAACTATTGTGCCTTCACATGGATCACTGCCAGCTTCAGGTTTAGGAATTTCAGTAACTCCAAGTCCTTATGGAACCAACGTGCAAGCGGAGGGACTGCGCCCGGCCGTGCAAACACACCACACTGCTCACGTGGGAACTCACCCCAGCAGAGCGTGGGGAGCAGAAGGTGCTTCCTCCACTTGTGTGATCCATTTATTTATACAACAGGCTCCATGTCCTCAGCAGTCCTTTGACCCTATGGGTCTGGTTTGGGTTTTCCTGCAGCTGAGAGGAAAGAAGCACAAAAGAAGAACACACCTTCCACTTGTCTGGCTGAATTCAGAGCAGTACTTTGAGCCAAATTTCATGTTTTTATCACCAGATTAAAACCAGCAGCAAGTCCTAGGTGCACACCTGTTGTATAAATATATACATATGTGCATATATACATACATACACACGCATGATGCTGCAGCCCACAGCCCTCAGCACAGGGTGGACCTTGCTCTGTGAGCTCACCCAGCCCCGCTCCAGGGAGTCCAACGTGGTAAAAAGTAGAGAAAAACCCCAAATCAATGTGTTCTATCACAGCTCCAGTGACGAACACATCGACCACATCTGAACACCCCACGGACCAGCTGCACAAGTCCAAGTCACTCCAGAGCTGCCCCTGTGCCCTCTGTCGGGTCTCCCTTCTCTCCTCCAAAGGAAAGCTGGAGCAGGCAGAGGGGGCCAGGACAAGGGGCAGCCCATGGAGTTCAAGTAGATTGTTAAATTTTCGGAATAGTTTGACAAGCAACCGCTCACAGACTGCAAGAGCACACCCACAGGGCTGGCTGTGGGGAGAGGGAGCAGAGAAGACAATGGCACTCGGGAATGAACAGCCAGTTTATATAAGAGCTTCCTCTATACATATACATATATATATATATATATATAACCACCAGAAATTTCCAGCATCTATCCTTTTAATACCAAAATCAACTGTGCATGTAACATCGGCATAATGAAAGTTTGTCTTCCAGATTTCTGGCATTTGGCTTGTGCAAACATCAAGGACAGCCAGGTTCCCTCCCGCGGCTTCTCCTCGTAAAGAAAGCGTCTTCTTAGAAGGACACGGGAATTGCAGTCTTGCCGAGTCCCAGATAGTCCCAGTAAGTCTCCCAAGGCAGTTCATGGAGCAGAAAACGGATCTTGTGGGAGCTGAACACTGACAAATTTCCTGCCACCTGGTGAGCTACCGGTTATGATTCTTTCGAGAGATTTTAAGCAGCTGTTGGTGCAATGAGACACTACAAACTAGATGATTTCCACTAGAACACAGAGAAGCGGCACCAGATGATGAAGCATGTGAAGTTTTATACCAACCTGACACTACAAACACGAGTACTGGGGGGTTACAGCTCAGTGCTCCGAGATTAACGCGCATTTAAACACCATCTGGAATTATTAACACAAGGTGGGGGCTGCAAACGCCACCCTGACCACCTGCCGGGGTCACCTGTTAAACATGATGCCAAGATACAGGTACACTGGGTACAAAAAACCTGCAGCACAAATTTCCTAAATTATCCAGAAATGGCAAAAGACTGAAGGGCACAGGGACAGACGAAGGGCACAAAGTAGGTGAGAGAAGCAGGTGCCTCTCTCATGGAGTGTGTGTGGTACAAACGCCCTGGTACAGCCCCCCAAAGTGCACTGGTGTCCCGCCACACCACACCACCACCTTGTGGGACAGGAATAGCTTTTCCATCAGGCTCCTGCCCTGGTTACACCTGTGTGAGGGTGTTTCCAGGCTGACAGGAAGGGTTTGGAGAGTTGCACTGCCCTGACCGCAGCCCTGCTTCAGGACTGGGTGTTTCTGTGCCCAAGCACTCCTCAGTTCTGCTCCTCCAAACCTCCAAGAGCATCCCACTGTAAGAACACTAGGAGTGCTAATATCTAAAGCAGTTTAAAAAGCTTACAAATCTAAAAAGAAGACTAAAAAGGGAACATTTCTCTAAAACGTCACTGCATGGGACCAGCAGAAACCGACACCCTACGGGACGCCACCGAGGCTTACATAAATTTATATACAGATAAATATTTAAGAATTTCCTACAAAAATCACTAACAAAATGAGACTGGCATTTAAGGGCTGCAATGCCCCTCCAGTACAGTGCATTGGGGATGCCCCCATCCCCAGGGAGGACGGGCAGGGCAGATCCAGCACCTCCTTCTCCAGCAGTTCCACACACCGGGAGGGACAGACAGCACCCGAGCGCTCTCGGC